AGTTCTTCTAACAGTTGATGGTAAACATCACGAGTCAAATTACTATCTTTAGTTCTTCTAACAGTTGATGGTAAACATCACGTCTCAAGTGACTGTCTTTAGTTCTTCTAACAGTTGATGGTAAACATCACGTCTGAAGTTACTGTCTTTAGTTCTTCTAACACTTGATGGTAAACATCACGTCTCGAGTGACTGTCTTTTGTTTTTTTAACAGTTGATGGTAAACATCACGTCTCAAGTGACTGTCTTTAGTTCTTCTAACAGTTGATGGTAAACATCATGTCTCAAATGACTGTCTTTAGTTTTTCTAACAGCTGATGGTAAAGATTTCGTCTTAAGTGACTGTCTTATGTTCTTGAGCTTGATATTCGTATTATTTTAATTTGAACTATTTAGAAGTCGATTAAATAAAACTTTCAACACGAACAGAAATTTCAAAACGGTAAATGCTTAATATAAACATGTTTCAAAACACGTGGAATCTGCTAATTTAGCATCGCATGTCTCGCAATCTATTGATTGATATGCGTATTGGGCAATGAAAGACAATCTGTATCATTGCATATATTTTGGGCTGTAACTAACCAATCGTAGATCACTTGAAGCTCTAGTTTTAAAAGGCATATCCTGTGGAATAGTGAAGTGTTTTAGTGTACAGGCTGAAAGAAGACACTCTGTGTTAGAGCTGACGGAGAAGATGCAAAAAAAAATTCTGTACCCGAAATTTAGAAGCAATTTTATACTTAATTTGTAGAGAACCTTCTGATGTCTCTTTAGCTAGGTTTTATAGATGTTCTTTTGTGTTCAAAATATTCAAGCCGCCAATTTCAACCGTTCTCTTCCCTACCACTCTCCCTGATTCACGCTGTTTGTGAATCTGTTTGTCTCCCACAGTTTTGGTTCTAGCAGGACCAGACTTGGCAGGCGGATTCGGGACAGCCCAGGAATGTTCTCATCTATACGATATTGTCCCCTACCCTTAGTTATTTGTGGTATCAAAATTGACTAAAACGCCCTCTACCCTTAGTTAATTGAGTTATTAATAATGTTTAGTACACTTTCGGTTTACAGAGTCACTCGATTCTATCTTACGATTTTATATTCTAAGCCGACTTCTCCCTCGAAATTCCATTTATGAAGCTGAGTTACCACGAGCAGACTTTCTAACGTGAAGTTGGGAGGTACGGACATATTTAGGATAATTTTGAATACTAAAAAAATTATTTAAAAAACAACGATTATTTTATACACAATTCAATAAAATGAGGTTGTTTCTAGTCTCCAATTTACTAAGATAGTAACTTACTGTACAAGGTTAAAAGTGGTTAAATCCCCCCATGTGACTAGAAAACAATCTCATACACTCTACATGTTTCAACGTATACTCTTGCGTCATCCTCAGGAGTGTAATGTTTTGCAAACCAAAACACTTATTTATACAGTTATCAAAACACCAATTTACATATTCAAGAATTTCACGTCATCTGCTGATAACATTACACTCCTGAGGATGACGCTAGTTTATACGTTGAAACATGCAGAGTGTATGAGATTGTTTCCCAGTCACATCGGAGTTTTTTACCACTTTTTAACCTTGTACAGTAAGTTATTATGTTAATAATTTGGAGACTGGAAATAACCTCATTTTATTGAATTGTGTATAAAGTAATCGTTGTTTTTTAAATATTTTTTAGTATTAAAAATTGAACATTAAACACGTGCCAAAAAAACTTTTTGAAAAAGAAAAAAATCTTTAGTATAGTTATAGAAGTAACTGGAAAACGGGTACATTGTGGTCTCTGTGAATCATGAGAAAGTGTTCTAATCCTACAGAGGAGAGAAGGTTTTATATGGGTGTTAGTTACGGGTGAGGGTGTTATATGGGTGCTAGTTACGGGTGAGGGTGTTATATCATCAAATACCCCCACGCTACTGAGTTTTAAAAGGCTGGATGTAGTTTTGTAACAAATAATGATCAAGTAAAACGAAGACTTACGTATAATTGTAACCGTCGCAGCTTGTCGTAAACTAACAGTGTTCTATTACGTCAACGGTTTGATTGGACATCATATTAGTTGCACCGAAATGATGTTTCTCAATCATCATCATCATCATCTTCTTAGATGATGAAAACTAATATCTATTTTAGTGAACACACAATCTTCCTGTATGTGTGTTCACTAAAATAAGTATTAGTTTCATCTTCTTGTGTGTGTTCACTAAAATAGATATTAGTTTTCATCATCTTGTGTGTTTTCACTAAAATAGATACTAGTTTTCATCGTCTTGTGTGTGTGTTCACTAAAATAGATACTAGTTTCATCATCATGTTCTTGTGTATGTTCACTAAAATAGATACTAGTTTCATCATCATATTCTTGTGTGTGTTCACTAAAATAGATATTAGTTTTCATCATCATCTTCCTGTATGTGTGTTCACTAAAATAAGTATTAGTTTCATCTTCTTGTGTGTGTTCACTAAAATAGATATTAGTTTTCATCTTCTTGTTTGAGTTCACTAAAATAGATACTAGTTTTTATCATCTTGTGTGTGAATGATTGATTATCATATAATGTGCTACTCATCTTTCAGGCGGCCTCTTGGAATCCTGAAGATGGTATAGTCTTCACCAGAAACTACACAGCTACTTACAATCAAGAAATTAAGCAGTCTCTAAGGAACCAAACGCTCCGAGTCACTACAATCATCGTGAGTGTTTATCTGCAGCGGTCTCTGTTATACGTAGTTTAAAATATACGCAAGAAATGCAGTCGTAAACTGTTGAAAATACATAATGATTTTAATAAACTTAAAGTTTAAAAAATTAATTTAGAATACTCTATAAAGCTTCGAGTGTTTCTAAAAAAAAATTATATAAGTATTCGTAATTAAGAACCTTACGGATTTGAACTAACATATATTAAGTAATTAGTGTCTGATAATAAAAAAAAGAAAATAATTAATAATTAGGCTTAAATACTCGTAAAGACTACTAAATATGATTACCAAACTCTTTCCGTAAATACAAAAATATCATCCCCAAATGTCGACTACATTTCAAAGTTATATGAAGCCTTCTAAAAAGAAACATTTTCGGAAGTATTTATATATATACTTTCATAACTTCGATTCAGAATTCACTAAAGATTTTAAAACTCACTTATAACAAAAGATATAACACAAATTTATAAGTTGAAATAAATAACTACTCCTATTTAATGGAGTAGAACATATATTTTCTACAGAAAATGTCCTATTATCGGTAATAGTCACATCAGTGGTAGTAACTTCATGAAGGGCTTCACTGTTTTCCTTCACTGTTTTATCCGGAAAGTCACGTCTGAGAGACGATCCACTATGTCATATGGGCCTTCCCACGGGGAAGACAACTTAGGAGACTTCTCTTTGGCCTTCCTGGGATTATACAACCACACCTTGTCTCCTGGTTCAAAGCTGACTTCAGTAGATCTCTTATCGTAAGATAACTTCATCGAATCAGCAGACATTTTCAAGTTTGAACGCACATGATGATGAATATCATCCATCCTTTCCGATAACACTTTCACAAACTCCGACACATTCTCAGGCAACTCTTCATAAGGTGGGCGTCCTGTTAGCAGATCCACTGGCAACCAAAGTTCCCAACCAAACATCAACTTTGCTGGAGTGTATCCAGT